TTCCTGCTGGCTGCCAGTCATTTCTCGCCTGCCAGCCCCAGAAGAGGTGTAAGTGTCGAGGATCCCCAGCTCAGAGGGTTTCTTTCCAATCCTATCTCTCCTGCCCTTTTCACTCACCCACTCATTCACTCAAAGCTGTGTGATCTTGGGCAAATGACTTTACATCTCTGTGCCTCAGTTTCTTCATCCATAAAAGGGGGATACAAATGGTACTTACCTCAGAGAGTTGTGAGGATTAACTGAAGTGATGCATATAAAGTGTTTAAAAGTGCTTAACCCCATGCCTGGCACATACAAGGACCCTGCCAGTATTAGCTGATCCACCCCTTCTAATGTCACTGGGTTTCAATCTCAAGATATCGCCCACTGCCCAACCTCCGCCTGACTCCACATGCCCTTTGGCTCACCCTTGGGTGGTCAGGATTTTCCACCAGGAATCAGATTGGCTGAGAGGGGAGTTCTTGGAAAGAGAGATTACTGACATTTGTGCTGCAGTTTCTATATATATATTTAAAAATCAGTTCTACATTCCCTTATAAAATTGTTATTATCATTTTTCTCCATTTTGGAGATGATGATGAAGGAAGCATCAGAATGGTTAAGTAACTTGTTCAGGGTCACACAGCAGGTAAGGAGCAGAGCCCAAATTTACACCCACCCGAGCCAAAAATGGCTTCCCTATGCCCCATTGTCACTTGCGGAGGGTGGGGGTGGGGTGGGGGAATAACATCCTAGGCCCTGGGTGCTACAGGAGGTTCAGAGGGGTCTAGTCAAACAGTTCTGCCCAAGGTCATACCCACAAGTAGGGCCAAACAGGATGATCCAAATCCATACCCAAGTCCACATAGCTGTAAGCCCCTGCTTAACACGGACTTGAGTGTTTGAGATTTCCTCATTGAAGGAGCTTTTTTGGGAAAGCTCCTTCTACGCCCCCTGTAGAAGGCGTAGATTCTACGTAGTACAAACCAGGGAGCCAAAAACGACAGAGTCCTGAGTTTAATCAGAGGAGAAGGCTGACACAGCCAAGTCAGAGGAAAGCGCCAAGATACATTTCTTTAGTTTCTGGAAGCAAAAATTGGGCAGACTCCGCTTCCAGCTACGATCTAGCGGCCGGGATTTCCAACGCTCCGGGCCCAGAGTTTCGCGTGGACCCCCCCTGAAGGGCCCCCAGCTCCGCCGAGGCCGCGCCCAAGGGGCCGTCGTTACCCCCTAGAAAGGCCCTCCGCCGGCTCCGCCCTTGCCCGCCCAGGCCCCGCCCCGGCCGCGCGCTGTCCTGCTCTGCTCGCGGACTCACTTGGGCGAGCGAGCGAGCGGCAGCGCTCGGCCTTGTGGCAGGCGGCGGGGGCCGGCGAGGGCGCCGGAGCCGCGGGCAGCGGCGGGGCGCAGGGAGGCGCGCACGGGGGCTCGGACGGCGCGGCTTTGACCGCTGCGGGCGCCGCTGAGCGCTCTCACCTTCAGTCGCGCAACTTCGAAGCCAGGACGCGGGAGCCAACGGAGCGCTCGAGCCCCGGAGCCTGAGGAGCGCAGAGAGGGGCACGCCGGAGCCTGGGCGGAGAGCGGGCGCCAGGTACCCATCGCACTCCGAGCGCCGGGCAGCCCTCTACGAAGCGTGGCTGCCTCTGCCCCCACGGAGGGCACGGGCTGGCGCGGCCGGGCGCCGGGGAGGACGGCGAGGAGGAGGCGGCGGCGGCGGAGACGGCGGCGGCGAGGCTGGGGCCAGGGAGAGAGCCCCGGGGGAGAGGCGCCCGAGCCGGGCCGCGGGAGCATGTGGGTCCGGAGCGGAGCGCGGGGCGCGCTACTGCTGACACTCCTGCTCTGCTGGGACCTGAGGCTGAGCCAAGCAGGTAGGGAGCGTTCGGGCATGGGGGAGGGGAGCGAGGGGACCCTGGCGCCTCACTCTGCCCTGAAGTTGAGGTGGTCTATCGCTCCGTCAGTGCACAGGGAAAGCGGTAAGGGCGCCCAAGTTAAAAGGTAGATTTCTCTGCCCCAGCAAAGTGGGCGATGGCGCAGCCATCTCGCGGGGCGGGGCGGGGCGGGGGTGTTGCTCAGGCCCTTCAGCTCCCGCCTGGAAGGGAGAGATCGCTTCTTTTCTCTGGAACGGTGTCCATGTCGGGGTGTGCGCCTCCGGGGGACCCCTGGCTTCGCGCGCGCCTGGCAGCGGCGCCGAAAAACCACAGTCGCTGCACAGGCCAGGTGTGCGCTCGCTTGCCCTTCGCCGGCAACTTCCTAGTCCAGGTCCCGGCTCGCCCAGACTCCTAGCGTGACACAGACCCGAATCCGCAAATGAGAAGGAGGGAGCGAGAAACCTTAAACACGGGAAGCGCGGGTCCGCTCCGCCAGCCAGATGAGGCCAGCTTGCAGGGTTTTGTTATCGAAGGGAATAGGGCTGTCTTGCATGTACAGCTTTCCTCGAGATCTTGGGATCCGCAGACCTGGAAGAATTTTTTTCTGGGTGTTGGTGGTGTGTGGTGGGGGGAGGAGTAAGTAGTGATCCTGACGAGTTTCCTTTTAAATGAGTCACTGACACACTCCCCGTCTGGGAAGCCGACAAGGTGCGCTCTCCACGCTCCTACTCCAGACCCAGCAAGATGCCTTAAGGGAGTCGGCTCGGCTCCTAAAATAAAGTCCCTATTCCCCCTCTCCCGCCGTGGTTGTGTACACGTCTCGCTGGTCTGTAGCTGGGCCGGGCGTAGCTGACTGGGCTGCGTCTTCCTGGGGAGCGGGTGGACACACGGGAGGCAACCCATCTCTCTCTCTCTCTCTCCTCTCTCCTCTCTCCTCTCTCCTCTCTCCTCTCTCCCTCTCTTCTCTCTCTCTCTCCTCTCTCTCTCTCTCTCTCTCTCTCTCTCTCAAAAGACAACTTAGTTTTGGCTGGGTCCTCATCTAGCCAGGGCAGGGAAGACTTTTGGTAACAGTGACTAAATAGAATCCCAACCACTTTCAGGACTCCGCAGTGTGGCTACATCAATTTATTAAAAGTGAATTGTAGATGAAAGGGCATATACTGCAGGTCCTATATGACAAGGCATGTTGCTTAAGTTTCCCCATGTGTAAAATGGACAGTGTCTTCAGAACATAAGAACATGATGTGCCGCGCCCCGAACGTCCCACGCCCGCCTCCCCCACTTATAGTCAGCTATTCCTCACTCTGGAATTAATGATTCCCATGGCCCAGGAGTGAGGGCTTGGTTTTAGCACATACCCCACTTTTTTTTTTTTTTGCCAGCCTTGTGTTGTAAAGTTACGACACAATCATTTGATCCACATTAATTATGATTTGGGCAGACTCTGGTATTTAAAGCCGTGTTTTGAAGTTGGAAGGTAATGATGGGGGAGGAAGCAGGCTGCTGAGTGACCAACTTTGTTTTAAAGAGTGCAGTTGGGTGTGGGAGGTGCTGGGTTGGGGTGTTGGTGTCTGGTTTGGGGGTGTTTGAGGGGAGGTGATTGGAGGGTTGGGTGAAGTCTCTGTAAATGGCATATGGGCAGGATTGGGTCTTGGGAAGCTGTGTTTGGACCGGCAGGGCAAGGGTATCAGGAATAAATACTGGGGTTACTGAGGGTGGGGAGCTGGGGATGCAGGAGAAAGACAAGACTGGTTGGCCTAGAGTTCTCCAGAGCTGCAGAGTAGGCTCTGCTGGGGAGACTGGGGGTGGCCTGCCTTGCCTGCTTAACAAAGCCTCCGGCCCCCACCTTCCCCAGAAGAAACGCCAGGCCCAGGGCTTTGATGGATTTGAGCATGATTGGTACCCAGCCAGAAGTGGGTGGCTAATACCGGGCTTTGATTTCTCACTAGCAGCAGAACTGGCCTTGGAATTGTTCTCATTACTTAGCGCAGCAGGGGTTGCCTGTCCACCAGCCTGGAGAGGGGCCAACTGGTGGGGTCAGCCTGCTGCCTTCCCTTTGCCCTCAGAAACCTGCATTCAGGAGCGAGAACATGCCCCTTCCTCCTACACAGCCCTTGTACTCTAATGCCACAGGCACAGAACATTTTTCAGAATGTTCTTTAGGTCTTCCCAGCGATTCCTCATGAGCTCCATTGCACAGATGGGGAAAATGAAGTCCAGGATGTTGCCTTTCCTCAAATCTTGCCTTCACGTGACAGCAGATTGCAGATTTGTATCCAGGGCTCCTGTCCAATAGCGGGCTGATTCAGGCCACTTTGGACTCCTCCTTTTGGTCCCAGCCATGGGAGGGGGAAGCTCCTTCTTGGGCGTGTCCAAGCTCTCCTCAAGGGGCAGGCACCTCTCTCTCCTTTCCCCTACCCCCATTCCCAGTGAACATGGGAATGAGTTCCCTTTCCAGCACTGAGAATTTTTTTTTAAGCCATAAAGTTTGATGGTGGAGAAATCAAACCTGGAACCATAAACCCGAGACTCTTAGAAGATTTCAGCAAGTGACTGGCCAGGAGAGGCCCCTTCAAAAGCCCAGGCTGGCCCTGGGAATCTCCCCTCAGCCTTTCCTGGAGCTTTTTTTTTTTTTTTTTTGCGGTACGCGGGCCTCTCACTGCTGTGGCCTCTCCCATTGCGGAGCTCCGGATGCGCAGGCCCAGCGGGCATGGCTCACGGGCCCAGCCGCTCTGCGGCATGTGGGATCTTCCCGGACCAGGGCACAAACCCGTGTCCCCTGCGTTGGCAGGCAAACTCTCAACCACTGCGCCACCAGGGAAGCCCTTTCCCAGAGCTTTTAATGAGCCTTTCCTTGACCTCTGGCTGGGATGGTTGAGAAGGAACCAAGGTGTCATGATAGCACTTCTTTTTAAGGTGCAATTAAAATCAGAGTTTTCCTAATGTCTCTGCTGTGTGTGTGTGTGTATGTATGTGTGGTGGTGGCCTGTCCTTGTCTTCCTCTACTCTGTACCAAATGCCCATTCCACTTAAACAAATGGAAAATCAAGAGCGTCTTACTGGGTTTTCTCATTAAAGTGAAAGTACCACTGCAGGGGAGGAATTTTGTATGTAATTTCGCTCCCCACCCCACAAACTGGGAATTCCATAGGAATTCCAAGACAATTCCTGTCTCTTCCAATCCACTTATTTAAGTGCTGAAGCTTTGGGACGGGCCCTGACTTGCCCAGGACTACACTGGGACTCAAGGATAGAGCTGACATTTGAACTCAGGCCTCATAAACCGCATTCTAGTTGTGGCTCCTTTATTCCACCTGGGCTGCAGACTGGCCGCATGGGTCTGGGATTGAGATTCTGAAATCAAGGCCCAGCTAAGGCAGGCAGCTAATGATGAAGTAGGTTTGGTAGCTGAGTTAGACTGGGACTTGCTGGGGGATGGTGGAAAGAAATTGGGAGCAGGGACCTGGGAGAGGTGGAACAGGGCTGGACCAAAGGTCAAGGTGAGACCCTGAGACCAGGCAAGTGCCCAAGGGTAGCCTTCCAACACTGATCCTCTCAGAAAAAGCCCCCACCTGCCCCAGGTGAGATAAATCACAAGCCAGCCTCAGAGCTCTGTACCTATTTGTATAGTTGGGGGCAAAATAGGTTTTTACTTTTTTATTTTGAAGCTTTGGGGGCTCATCTCCCCCAAACTCAACTCACTTTGTTGTTGAGTTTCTCCTGGACTGAGGTACTATGTATGACCTGTTCCTGGCTGTCAGACCACGTGGTCAGGTCTGCGTTCCTCTTCCCCTTCCCTTTTACCAGCAATGGCTTCTAAGGAGGGTCTGGGCTGCCTGGGACTTTGAGGATGAGGCTGGAGGGGAGGTGGATCTCTTACATTCCAAGTGCTTGGTTGGTGATTCTCATTGGCCCATCCTGGAGCCTCCTCCCGGGCCTGCTGGCCAAACATATGGTCATTTGAACCTTATCGCTGGGGTTGGAGTAACAAGGAGGCACCTTGGAGCACCCTGAGGCCTGGAGGAAAGGGAGGAGAGATAGGGGTCATAGGTTGGGGTTTAGGGGTTGGCCTCGTGGGGCTGGGGAGTAGAGAGAAACTGCTGCCTAGGCAGGCTGGCACCCAGGGGCAGAGAGGAGGAAGTTGGCCGCTGAGGCCAGAGCTGGTGACTCTGGCCTCTTCCTCCTCCTATTCGTCCTCCCCGGTTTTCTAAACAGCTTCCACAAACGGAATCATTAAAGCTGTGAAGGCAAAATGAAACCAAACAAGTATGTTCTGTGCTTTTCTGTTTCTTTCCTTTTATTAAAGGAAAATTTAGAATACCATAATTAGAATAATATGAGGAAGGGTAGTTTCAGAAGGCTGGAGGGAATGTGTGCCCTCCATCCTTTAGATTTGCTTCTGAAGTTGGGCGTGGGCCACCACCTGCTGCCCCCCTTGGGCCCGCACTCAGCTAGGTGCTGCTGGGGCCCTGGGAGTTTCTCCCCCACCCGACCTAGTGCATTTTTGCGAGCCGGGGCCAGGTGAGACCCCGTCCTCTCTGCCAGCCGCTGCCCCCCACGACCCCGCAGGGCAGGCAAGCCCTGGCGAGGCCCGACCACCGGTACCCTGTGGCGCCCCTTTCTCTCCTAAGCTGCGAGGCTAATGGCAGCGAAAACGTTTGCTGAAGTGCTGGCATAAATCAGCCGCCTCCCCGCTCCCCCCACCCTACCCCTTTTGTTTCCTCTCCCTTCTCTCCCAAAGCCCTGGGTTGCTGGAAGCTTCCGAATTTACCCTTGCGGACACAGCGGCCCGGTTAGCATCTCCGCCTGGTGGGCTGATTCAGCGCGGGTACCTGGGGGTTGCGCACACCTTGGCACGGCCCGCTCCCCCTTCCCTTCCTATCCTGAGCCACCCTGATCCCCCTCGGCCCCCTGGCCAGTCCCCTCCACCCCCTCCCCTGCGGAGCTAAATCAGTCTTCGGGAGTCCGCAGCTCTCAGGGCACGGTTGGTTAGGGAGTGA